AGTTGGAATGCCTATAACACTCTATGACGAACAATGCAGTTCTTTTCAACACAGCTGTGCACAACAGAATCCGCTCTGGTAATGATACGGACAGTTGCTATGGTACGACTCAGTTAAAAGTTTGTACAATTGAATGAAACATGCATTGAAAATACTTGAGCAAGTTGCAATGGCCGCACGTCACAGCACAAGAAAAGGGACATGTTCGGCCCAACGTTCCGTGACATTAAACCAGTTTGACACCAAGTCGCTCCACTGACTTCACAGCTACGCTTCAGTTCCAGCAGTGCCAAGGATTGGCCTAGTTATTTTGTGAATGACTCTTCCATCTCACGTTCAACAACGACGCAAAGTTTCTGTTGGAATTACAAGTCGAACGAAACAGTTTCTTGCTAAAAAGCAGACCTCTGGCAAATGCCACTTAAAGGAAAATGGTCTCGATAGTGTTTTCTCTTGCTGAGTCTCTGTCCGTCTTCGCACAGCTGTTAAAGGGACTTCTTTTTCAACTAGTGGTGAACGCCAATGGAAGAAGGGACAGGATCCCTAGCCTTATGGACAACACATTACAGAAGTAGTGAAGTAATTATTGGTAAAATATCCCGCTGGGCATGCTTGTTAATGTGGTTACAGTTGGGTTGTTATATGCTGGAAAAAATTAAAAGCCTCATTCTGTGACCCATGAATGATGTTGAGTAGCACATTGTTGTTGTTTTTATGTATATTACAGAACATCTAGAGACCCCAGCCAAGCTCGAGGGGCCCACCCTACAAGGCGTTGTACAGATACAGTGGCCTGGAATGCTTACCGGATGAATAGACAAGAAAGATGTCGGTACAGAGAGTTGAAGTCACTTGCCTGGAGAAGCACAGCAGATCAATGGCAGAGCTAGGAAAAGAAACCAGGGTCCAATGGACTAGATTGTTTCTCACTGAACGACACCATTATCCATGGACTGAAGTGTCTCAACTGCACCTCTTCTGTGCCTCCTACTACAGCCCATCATGAAGTGCAGTTCACTATCCTCCCAACCTCACGCACCACAGGACAGGAACGGTACCTCCATTGGTCTCCCAAAACCTCCTTGAGCATCCTTTCCCCCCACTCCCCAAACACACACACACACACAGTGCATCAGTAAGAATCTGGTCCCCAATTAATATTGAACCAGTTCTATGCCTTCCACCATTGTGTGGTATGTGAGCATGATTTTCGTTTGAAAAAAATACATGGAAACATGCTAGGTCCTGCATTGCTGGAACTTCGCCTATTTATCCACCTCTTCCAGCAGCTCTGAGCACCTTCGAAAGTGATGCCATTATAGACTCATAGACTCAAAGGTCAGAAGGGACCATTATGATCATCTAGTCTGACCTCCCGCATGATGAGGGCCACAAAACCTGACCCACCCACTCCTGGAAGAATGCTCTCCCTTGACTTAGCTGTAGAACTCCCAAATCATTATTTAAAGACTTCTTTTGGTTAAGGTAAACAAACCGAGCTCCTTGAGTCTCCTTTCATACGACAGATTTTCCATTCCTCGGATCATCTTAGTGGCCCTTCTCTGTACCCGTTCCAGTTTGATTTCATCCTTTTTAAACATGGGAGACCAGAACTGTACACAGTACTCCAAATGAGGTCTCATCAGTGCCTTGTATAACGGAACCAGCACCTCCCTATCCCTACTAGAAATACCTCGCCTAATGCATCCCAAGACTGCATTAGCTTTTTTCACAGCCACGTCACATTGCCGACACATTGCCGACTCATAGTCATCCAACGTTTCCTACTTTCCCATAGGAACTTCTCCCTGAAAGTAATATGTTTGCATTTCTACTGTAAAGCCCTGGCTTCAGGGTATTTCAAGTCACCCATACAAATGTGCTCCTGGTTAATTTTGGTGTACGGAGTGAGCAGAAGGTTGCTGTCAAACTTTAATATTTAAAAAAAAATTAAAACAAAGCATTGGTTTAGGGTTAAGGTAACACAAAAAGGAGAAGATAGTCACTGAATCTCCTGCATGCTTTATTATTATTACTGTTATTGTTTGAACCAAAAATTGCCAGGCTGTTGTGGATTTAAATTAATTGTTTTATATTTTTCTCTTATATTTTAAAAGTAAAATAGAAAAATGTATCGAACAAATAGATGTTTGTTCTTTAAGGGGAAATATTTTTTCTTGAAAAACTCAAAAAGTTGGTATTTACTCCATCGAAAGGATCCATCCCAGAATATTTTTTTTTAAATCGTTCACTATTGTTACAATCTATCTAATCTTAGAAACAACATAGCCCGGTCTATGATTCCTTTATCCAAGCCGTCCTCCAACTGCATTTCACAGCACTCTGACTTTTGATGGCCAGCACTAGCCCCTACAAGTGGATTTTCAGTTTTATGAGGCTCCCTCACTTTGGGGGCTAATATGAATGGTAGTTTTGGAGATGACCTCTACTTAGCAAGGAGGAGGATCTTCCTAAGTGAAAAAGGTGTAAAACAGCCAACCGGGTTCTCTCGCTTTCAAGTGAGAGCAGCTCTGGGGGAAAAAGACCATGTTTACGTTGCAGTTGATTTAATCTCAATGCATTATTCACATTGGCTTTAGCTCAGTGTAAATACTACAATGATCTGATTCCAATCAATATAATATTATTAATTGAGCTCCAACTATGACTAATGCACTAATGAAAGCAAATGAATACAGCAAAATAAGAGGACTGAGCCTAGAGGTCTTCCTCAAGCATAATTCCCCTTCACGATCAACCTGTGCTTCTTCGGTTCACTGGACTAAGTTGAAAAAAATAAAATTTGTTTCAGGTCAAATTAAACATTTTGGGTGAAATGAAACACTTTAGTTGCCTCAGGTGACTTTGGGAATAATTTGTGAACTTTCTTGGTTGACCCAAAACTGTATTTTTTTGGAAAAAAAGTTTCATTTAAAAACTTTTACCCAGCTCTAATTATAGTAATTTAGGGGCTGTAGTACGGGGCCTGGTACAGTCAGTGAGTGATATGCAGAATGTCATTGAAGTTCTTGCCCAATATCCA